GGGCCACCCTCATCAGTCTCTTCTGGGCCGCGAAGCGCTACCCCACCGCGGTGCCCCCATCCACTGCTCCAACAGACGGTTCAGAGGGTCGGGATTCGGGATTCACACGGCTGGCCTCCAAGATCGTGGTCTGAGTGACCTGCGAGTTCACCGCGTTGCCGAAGTCCACCAGGAACTCGTAGACGTAGCATGCGAGGTTGCGGCTGTGCACCTGGCGCCCAGGCGGGCGGCGGACGGCCGCGTGCGCGAGTGCACTCGAGTAGGTCGTAGGGGAGACAGGTGCGCAGGGCGAGGGTGGCCAAGGGAAGATAGGAGAGGGACAGAGGAGGCTGGCCAACGTCGTCGTCGTCGTGGTCGTCGTCGTCGCCATTCCAGGTCGGCGGCACCGGCCGTAAAGCCTCTCCAATTCGCCGGCCCAACGGGCCAGAGGCGTGGTAAGCTCTCCGACAACAGGTGAACGGGATTTGTAGTTCGCGCGCGCGTGGCGGCTCTGGGTGCCCCCTAATTGCGAGGCTGCCATCCTTCGCCTCCTCCTCCTTACCACTTATCTTCCTCCTCCTGCCCCCCATCCTCCTTCTGCCCCCGCGCTGCCGCGGCCCCTGCAGCGCCCCCCCCTGCCGGGGGCCTTGGAGTGCGGCACCCCTTGGCGGATGCTGTTCTGAACGCACTTGTTGCTCTTCGTCGCGTCGTCCTCCCACGCCAGCTCGGCGCCCTCGATCAGCGTGGCCCAGTGGAGCGCCAAGAACTGCTCGTCTTTGGTCTGAGGGCGGGGGGGGGAGGCATCAGCATGAGATGGGCGAGCTCGCCCTAGCCGCCCATGGCAGCGAACAGCGAGAAGGGGGGGCATCATATGCATCCGCGGCTCGACGACATCCCCCCCCCCCTCTGGCAAGCCCTCTCGGATAGCAGCGCCCCAAAGACGCAACCCCTACGTCTCGCAACCACTACGTCTCGCAACCCCTACGACGCGTCCCAAAGACGCCGTGCTTCGCATCGCCTCGCAACCCCTACGTCTCTCTCTCTCTCTCTCTCTCCCTCTCCCTCTCTCCCTCTCCCTCCCTCCCTCGTCTCTCTCCTCTCTCTTCTCTCTCTTCTCTCTCTCTCTCTCTCTCTCTCTCTCTCTCCTCTCTCTCTCTCTCTCTCTCTGTCTTTCCCTCTCTCTCATCTCTCTATCTATTATTCTCCGTCCATCTCTCTCTCTCTCTCAC